TACCGTAGCTATTTCCTCTTGTAACCGTCTGCAGACGAGCTTGCAGCTTCTGCCGCAAGCACGAGATTGCACTTTCACCATGGAACTCTGCTACGTCGAGGGCCATTCAACGTGACGTTGACTTTGTGCAATATGAGCGCTGGAATAAGAGGCGCGATACGACGGTGAAACTATTTTGTAGGAAGATTCGTTCGTAGAAATTCAACTAGACAGAGAAACAGAAAATGAGAGAGAAGTAGAAAGGTAGAAAGTGGTATAAGGATATGTATATACGTATATTATATAATATATACACGTATAATAACCGAGTTTGTGTGATCACTTACTTCGCAAGAGACAGAGAGAGAGAGAGAGAGAGAGAGAGAACGAACATTTAATTTCTAATTCTACCCACTTGTCTCTCGTAATTTCTTTACAAAACGATCCTTTCCTACGTTTTTGTTCATAATTAGAAATTAAGGCTTTTATATCCTTAACAGTCATGTAAAAAAAAAAATGAAATATTTATTCCCTCCTTCTGTTTTACATATATAAAGATTCAGTGTAATTTTATTTAAATATATATCGTACATTTTTGTTTTTTTTTTAACATACTTATTTTCTAAGTTTATTTGTTTCAGGTGATACACGGTGTCCATATTGAGCCGGCACACGAAGTGAAAAAACGTAGCATTAGTCAACCCCTTCGTATTCTTCTTTCTTACGACGAAAGTGTGTTTAGGTGAGTAAAAAAAAAAAAAAAAACGAGAAAAAAAATATTAAATGCAAAAGTTAAAAATTTTTTATTATAGGTCAATCGATACGAAATAAATCTATCATAAATGTGGCACGATATATCAAAATGTAATTCGATAGATCGATCGAATGTTCCATTTGTATCTATCCTATCCACGTACTTCGTTAATCGTCAAACATGATTTTGGTAAATGTCGGTGTATCACCCTGATTGCGATTTCAAATACCGCGAATGTCGAAATCGAATTCTCCTTCGTACGAACAATACGACGAATGTGTAACCCTTTGAACGATGGTACGTTAAAATGCGAATGTTACCGTTGGTATTCCTACATGTACGCGTTTTCGTTCCTCCTCTCGTTTTAGGAGAATTACATTTCACGTCCGAGTGCCTGCTTTACTTTTGTTCCCGAATTCATCCATTTTCAAGTTAAATCCTGTTCGTTTCGCTAACGTTAAATGACATTCGTGTAATCGTTGGATAACAATTTTATTCGATTCCCTTTTTTTTCCTATTTTTTTCTTTCTTCTTTATTATTAACTATTTATCAAAATTTTCATTTTATACAAAGTCATAGGTAATTGTTAATACGATTAAACGAAGATATTCATTTTCATTCGTAATAACATTTTTTTTTTTTTAATTTATTTTCGAAATAGATTAAATCGTCGAATGAATAGCGAACAAATTATATTTTCGTTTTTTTTTTGTTTTTTTTTTTTAATATTCAATCGGTGATCTGTATATCATTTTCGATAAACTAGGAAAATATTTTGTCTATTCAATTATTATATTTTGTAATATTATTATTTTCCGCGTATCAAATCGATTATTATCCGAATTCACAACGATATACGAAAATATAACTTTTATTAAAATAAAAATCACCTTATCACTTATCACAGTATAAATAAATGAAATATAAATTGTCCGTAGGTTTTAGCGTTAAATGTATTCTTTGATAATTCGAAGTATAAATGTACAATTGTAGGATTGAAATCATTTATAAAAAAGACATTGAAAGAAAAAAAAAAAAGAAGAAAAAAAAAAGACATGACGTATAATAGAACATAAATATCAACGTGGAATAGAAATAATCGTTTGGACACGCCTAGAGAGTTCATTCGTTCATTCGTTCATATGTCGCAGGTAAAGATAAGCATTACCTATGTATACGTAGATAGAAACGTAATCATCGTTGATATGCATCAAGACGACGTAGGTGCAATAGCTATAATAATCCAACCGTGTATAAACCCACGTGATGCATGCTGGCAATCCAAATGGCAACGAACTTACAGATGCATCGTGATCGTATTTTTTCTTTATTCGCGTGCGTGTCAAACGAATGTTATTTCACGTAATTCTTGATTTGTCTGACTTTTACGGTTGTAGATATTAATTAATAACAGAATGACTGTCAGAAAAAAAAACGTAGCTCTTCTTCTTGTTATCACATCGATAAATTATATCGCCGCTATATTTTCATCATTTTTTTTCCTTTCTTACGATATCTGTGCTTTCGCAGAAATTTGATTTTATTATAATTTACGAAGAGACTGTTTTGGCAACAGGAAATATCTTGTTTTGTCATTTCGATGAATAGAATACTAAATAGTCAATTCTGCGTATATAATTCTTAATTAAGTTAACAGTTCTATCTAGGCGTAAATGAAATACCAACGGTATTTCACGTTTCTATGTAATTTCTAGGATTCTATCTGCTAAGAGATTTACTTACACTTGCTTTTGCTCTTCTCGACGAATTGTATTATGAAAGTTCGTTCGTTTCTTCGTACATTTCTTCGTTCGTTCGTTCGTTCGTTCGTTCGTTGATTTCTATTTTGAAGAGCATTGCCAAGCTTCTTACGAAGCTCGTTGCTCTCGTTGCTTCTTCCTTTGCCAGTAAATTGGTGAACAGTAACTATTTGCAGAATATATATTATCTAACGTAAATGTAATAATACTTATGTTCGTTATCATAGTGATAATATTATTTTAACTAATAATACTAATAAAGTTTCGAAAATTTAACGGGATAGGTTGATACAAAAATTTACTATTGTAAATGATTTTGATAAAAAATGATAGTTTATTTCATTAATTATGATGTGATGTCAGATACTGAAGACTAAAGACTGACTAAGAGTTGATACAGACTAAAACTAACTAAGGACAGATACAGATACAGATACAGACTTAGCACTAAGGACACTTTCTTATTTCTTTCCACATATTTATATCAGAAATGAGCTACATCCCTTTGGGAAATGAATTACGGGAAAGGAATTACGAATTCTTTTGACCAATAACAAAAGGGTACACCCCCTATAGTCAACCGATGGGTACAGCTTATGTTTTTTTAGGTAAAGATCGTAGGAAAAGACCATGCATAAATGAACTTCGTTTCAAGTAACGGTGTATTGTTTCTCCTTATGTGTCACATGTGTTCCCATAGAAATCTGAAACTATCCAAAGGACACCCGACACTTGCACAAAGGTTTTTCATCGCATCTGTACGTCCCAACAATTCTTAAGTTATTTTTTTTTATGGTTTTCTAACCCTCCTTAATCTTTTCTTTTAATCTCCGAATAGACTTTTCCTTTTCAGAAAATAGAAATATAAAGAAAAAAACTGAATACTAGTTTTCTTTTTTCCTACACTATTAATATGAAATTTAGTCTATCCGTTATGTTGGTAAATGAAATAAGTTAACAGAAAAAAAAAATATTTTTAAAAGAAACATTTTTCAATGTAGTATCACGAGTGTTAACATTAAAACGCGTTATGGTGATAAATTTACAAAAAGAAGAAAAAAAAGGGAAGGAAAATAAAACGAAAGAACGAGAGAGAAAGATAGATAGAATGAGAGAGAGAGAGAGCGAGAGACAACGAGAGAGAACGAGAGAGAATGAAAGTCCTTAACGAATATTTTTGAAGGAAACATTTCTGAATAGAGAATATCGTGAGTGTTAATGTTAAAACGACGTCGAGTACTTCAATTCGCTTGCGTTGTAACTTTGAACTTTTACGAGAAGCTCGGTACGCAAGTTTAGCGGTTACTAAATGCTTTCGTAATGCCCGTTGAAAGTTTCGCGGTACACGAGCTTACAGACCGGGCCCTCCCTCGTTGAGCTTTTCTCCTATTGCATTTTCATCGTTGGTCCGACGTTTTCGCATATATAAACAAGAACTCTCTAATTTCTCTATCCCCACGTCGACTTTTCCTTTTAATAGATATAAAGAGAACAAGATAACGAAAACGAGACAAAAAGAGAGGAATAGAGAGAGAGAGAGAGAGTGGGGTGGGGGGATGAGGAATAATTTCTCTACTTAAATTTTCGAATTTTATATCTTCCTTTTACGATGATTAATAGGAAAATTTACTGAACGTAAATTAACGTTACTGTATTCAACGAAATATCGAAGTATATAATATGATCATTTGTTATTCCTTTTCACGATATTTCTATGTTGCATTAGCGAGTAAAGAAGTGTGTTAATAAGTAAATGTTATCGATCGATACCAATTTGTCTTTCTCTCTTTCCTACCTACACGTACACTATATAGAGTACCTATATTCGCTCACTCATCAACTCGTCTATGGAATAACATAGTTTCCGGAACGACTTATTTTATGGATAGGTATACGTGGCTTCGAGAGTACCACGGTCACGAAAAGTTCCGTGAGATAAGGTGTGTGCTTCGTTTACGTACCCCCTCGTATACGTGTGTGCATGTACGTATATATGCATATACCTATATATATATNATATATATATATATATATATATATATATATATATATATATATATATATATACATATATATGTATATACACAACTGCGTATACTCTGTCATTATCTGTCATTACTCGTCACGCAGTGTTTTTTGTGTTCTCTCCAACGTCCTCGTGCGAATGACCGACAAAAAATGAATCGCGTTATATCTTTCTACGAGAAATAATAATACATTGATCGAATTCTTTCGTAAAGGGTTTTTAATACCACCACCTACCTAGCCCACCTCTCTCCTACTTCTTCTTCTTCTTCTTCTTCTCCACTAGTTAAGTGTATTTATTATATATAGTTCAGCGAATTTTACAAATTGTTCTTACGAACACTAGCCTAGTGATTTATCGTCCTCTTCTCTCTTCCACGACCGACATCGTAGGCCTAGAGTTGGTCACGCGACTCGCGGTTAAAATTATCTCACAGTACTTTTGCCGGATAAGTAGGAAGCATGGTAGCACGGACAGATTCGTTATTTCGTAAGATTATTTATCTTCTTATCTATGGTTTTCTTTTTCTTTTTTTTTTTCCTTTTTCTTTTTCCACGAAAAACCTTTTAACGAAAAATAAAAATAAATATTGTCCATGCGATGCTAAATTAATTTCAAATCAATTCATTAATTACATATATTACAATAATAATTCATTATAAAAGAGAATTAATATTATTTTAATATTATATATTATTTTTTTTTTTTTATAGATAACAAACTGATAACACTATGCTCGATATATCTTTGCATTTGTTTCTACTCCTATCACTCGTACCAACAAACGTTTCATTTTTTTTCATCTTTTTTTTTTTTTATATTCCATATCCATATCTAGAAAAAAATATCAAAAAATAAATCCAATTGTCCGACTACTAATAATACTTGGATTGATGTGGATTTTTAAAAATTCGTATTTTATCGTAATCTCGGTCTCATCCTCTTAAAAACATAATAATACATCGTTCGTAACGAATTCGATCGTCAAATAAATCGTACCAGTAGTTGTATATTTCTTTTCCACGCGTACTTCCTGTCTTTATTTTCAACTCTAACATATTGCAATAATAATAACGATTTAAACGGGTAACATTATCGAAATCGATCTATGTCAGTTTATATCTACCTATTGGAAGCCCGAGGCGTTTCACCAGGGCTCGGAGGGGTGGAGAAGGGAGGGGGAAGGGGGGAGGACTTTTAA